TTATCAAATAAATATTTGATCCAATTTTCAAAAAAGTAAATTAGAAAAACAAAAATGTTACAAACAAGTATTATTGGAATCCAAAATCACTATTTTTTTAGGTAATAATATACCAAAAAAAATACAAAATACAAAATCAAAATTATTAAAAATAATATGTAATTACAAAAAGTGTCACCACAGCCTATATTTTCTAACGAAAAATTATGTATAAATAGTATTTTCCTTTTCTTTTGTTTTTCTCAAGACTAAGATTCGTATATAAAAGGTAAAGGATTTAAGAATTTGAATTGACAACACAAAGATAATGAGAATACTTACAAAATAAAACAACCCTTCCTTTAGACAGCGACTTGTAACAAATCACAATTTTAAAATTTAAAATCACATTTCAAAGTTCTAATCATTCAAATTAATAACTCATTTCTAATACAAATGAGGTAGCTTTAGGGCCTCAATTTCAATATTAAATTAGGTTAGCTTTCAACATAGAAAAATCATAAAACATATATCAACACCCATTCTTTATCAGTAGCAGTTGAGATTTAGAATATTTTTTTTCCTTTCTTCATTTATTATTATTATTATTATTATACTATTTTTACATTATATTTAGTTATTATTATACTATTTTTTTTTTTTTTTTTACCCTTCTTTCTTTTTTAACGTGTTGTCCTCTTAGCCATGGTCTGTGCATTCATCTATTCGTCACAATTACTGTTTAATGTTTACATTGTATAATTTACCATCACCTACCACAACACTTTACCGTTACCTACCACACACTCACCTACTACTACTCAACCTACTCCCTTCACCTACCTACCACTATCCACTTACACCTACATTCATATAAGAAGACCATCTGATGACCGATTGTTAATACACAACATCGACAATATACATCAATCAATAATAAATACATCATAATTTTACATGTATCAGCAGCCGGGGGTTAAGAACCTGTTCATTCTTGCTTCACGGGCGGGGCGGCGGGCAGCCTCGCCTTGGCCCGCCCGCCGGACCACTACACATACCCTGAGACTTCCGCTGTAACTTCATCTTTCAGCTAGC